GGGCAGTTTTGGGGCAGCTGGGCAGATACGCACCCTCAAATTCGCGCACCTACGGGTGGTTGGGTTAGGCGAAACGTCGAAAGGAAACGCGTGCGACCAATGCCGCAAAGCCATGCGCGACAAACCCGATTTCCCGCCCAAATGACGAGACAGAAGTGAAGCCGAAACAGGGGCGTGATTACGTGGGGAAGTGCAGCGTAACTCAGATCATGAAAATAGAAGAACCCGAGCATGTGACGAAACGGAGAATACAAAGACGCTGAGACCGGAGGTTTGTTCACAAATTGTGAACACGCTCTCTCCTTGACTTCGACGTGGTCTCAAATTGCACACATTGAAACATGCATATTATACAACGTAACAGATAACACGATGTAAAACCACATTACAAAACCAACATATCTTCGGACATGTTATCAATCACATGCTTGAAAATACAATAGATTTGGTACACTGCAGGAGAAAGGTCCGTCACATACTGCAATAAATAATGGGTGTAAATAAGTCTCCCGAGTATCTAACCAGCCAAAACACAAACTTGGCCACACATGCTAATTTTTTAGCGATTGGCAATGTGAACAAAAGAATCAGTTGTTCAATGGAAAAGTACTTGAGCAAGGGGTTGAGTGACAAGATTGAGAGGGGAAACTAGTTTGGAGAGGGGGAGAAGGGATGAGGGTACGGCATGGGAAACAGAGAGCATGGGGGGGCGAATGGGGGAAACAGAGAGCATGGGAGGGGGAAAGGGGGAAACGGAGAGCATGGGAGGGGGAAAGGGGGAACCAGTGAGCACAGCACAGGGGAAGGGGAGAACAGAGAGCATGGGAGGGGAAAAAGGGGAAACAGAGGGCATGGGAGGGGGAAAGGGGGAAACAAAGAGCATGGGAGGGGGGAAGGGGGAACCGGTAAGCACGGCACGGGGAAAGGGGGGAACAGAGAGCATAGGAGGGGAAAAGGGGGAAACGGAGAGCATGACAGGGGGAAAGGGGGAAATAGAGAGCATGGGAGGGGGGAAAGGGGAAACGGAGAGCATGGGAGGGGGAAAGGGGGAAATAGAGAGCATGGGAGGGGGAGAGGGGGAACCGGTGAGCATAGCACGGGGAAAGGGGGGAACAGAGAGCATGGGAGGGGAAAAGGGGGAAACGGAGAGCATGGGAGGGGGAAAGGGGGAACCAGAGAGCATGGGAGGGGGAAAGGGGGAACCAATGAGCACAACACGGGGAAAGGGGAGAACAGAGAGCATGGGAGGGGAAAAGGGGGAAACAGAGAGCATGGGAGGGAGAAAGGGGGAAACAGAGAGCATAGGATGGGGAACGGGGGAACCGGTGAGCACGGCACGAGGAAAGGGGGGAACAGAGAGCATGGGAGGGGGGAAAGGGGAAACAGAGAGCATAGGAGGGGGAAAAGGGGAAACAAAGAGCATGGGAGGGGGAAAGGGGGAACCAGTGAGCACAACACGGGGAAAGGGGAGAACAGAGAGCATGGGAGGGGAAAAAGGGGAAACAGAGAGCATGGGAGGGGGAAAGGGGGAAACAGAGAGCATGGGATGGGGAACGGGGGAACCGGTGAGCACGTCACGGGGAAAGGGGGGAACAGAGAGCATGGGAGGGGGAAAAGGGGAAACAGAGAGCATGGGAGGGGGGAAAGGGGAAACAGAGAGCATGGGAGGAGGGATCTCCACGTTGCTACCTCCGAGCCCCCCTTTACCCATCCTCAACCCCTAGTCCTCCCTTTCTCCAACCATTCCTACCCACTCCCACCCCCTATCTCCTTGCATTCCCCATTTCCCTGCCCCCTATATTCCTGCCTTCCCCATTTCCCTTCCCCCTATCTCCCTGCATTCCCCATTTCCCTGCCCCCTATCTCCCTGCCTTTCCTATTTCCCTGCCCCCTATCTCCCTCCCTTCCCCATTTCTCCCCTCATTCCGTTCGCTCTCCCCCTTATTCCGCTCACTCTCCCCCTTATTCCGCTCGCTCTCCCGCTCACTCCGCTTGCTCTCGCCATCATTCCGCTCGCTCTTCCCCTCACTCTGCTCGCTATCCCGCTCATTCCGGTCGCCTTTCCCTATCATTCCGCTCGCTCTCCCCTTCATTCCGCTCGCTCCCCCCCTCATTCCGCTCGCTCTCCCCCTCACTTCGCTCGCTCTCCCCGTCATTCCGCTCGCTCTCCCCCTCATTCCGCTCGCCTCTTTCCTCTAACAGCGCTCCCATTCCTCCCATTACGTCCACCCATGCATGTTTCCCCCATTCTGCTTACCTCTTACCCGCATCCCTCCCTGTCTTTTCCCCATACTTTCCCCCATTTTCCCCCGTCGCCTGACTACACCAAGGTTGATAGCGGACTCGCTATGCTTCCCGAACAGCAGCGAAACAGCCGCGCGATCTTGCCGACAAGTAGCTGACCGTCTCGCAAAGACCCGTGGCACACCGCCCAATGTTTTTCGCCAAGCTGCGGCGGACGATTATCTACGCTGAGCTTGCTTGCATCCTTTCCACCGCTTCCTGCCATCGCTACTGCACAATACATTGTTTTCTGTCAGAACTAAAGGGTCGTTCACACGCGGGGAGCTGCTCTTTCCCGTCCGCACGCCAGATATTTTTTTTAGACCGGGGAAAGGGCTGGGGAGCTGCGCTAAGCTAGCGTAGGTGTCGGGTCTCCTACGTCTGAAAAGCAATAGCACACCTGGGGCTCATCTGAAATTCTACCCTGATGACGAGTGTTCGCATGGACTTTGTTTTGGTTGAGCCTTGCGACCCTCGAGATTGTCGCAGCGTGTTTGCCAGGGGAGTTACGACTGCATTGTTCCGTTAGCCAATGGTTTGCGAGCTGCAAAATCGCAGCATTTGTTTTTTCGCGTCGGGGTAGGTGTACAATTGCAAATCGGGTTCATTTCTCTGACCCCCAAAATACTGAATTTTCAAGTGTGCCTCCCCTTTGCTATTCTAGCCTGTGGTTTTAAGTGGCAACTCTACCGAGTATACTTCAACTACCGCAATACAATATCCATTATGTATGCTTGCTTTCTAGTGCCTTCTTACACCTAGACGGCCCAACGCAAAAATCTATAGGTACAACGGAATAGGATTGAGTATTGTAAGGACGAGCCTATGATTGATCCACATTTCAAGCTCCCTATTTTGGGCTAACCAACCCTATCATTTGACTAAGGCTTTAGGTTTTCATAGCGGTTTTCCTTGAGAGCTACACTGCTCTATTTAACTCAATGCACACTTCAACAATCTGATGAGAACCTTCGTCAAAACATCTGGACGGACGGCGGACAGGCCAGCGTGACAAAGCCGCACGTGACCCAGAGGAGGAGACAAAGGACAACGACGTTCCACAATATTCTTTGAAAGACCTCGTCTCGTGGCTTTCCGTAGCACATGGACGACTCCACGAAAATCTATGGATTGTTTTGGGGCTACACATCCTAAACCCTGTGTAATGTATTGTTCGTGTACTCCCAGCATACCCCTACCCTACCCCCCCCACCCCACCCTTCGTTTCGTCCTGTGCGTATCGAGTTGCTTCGTTTTGCTCTTACTTATTTCTTCCTCCCCACCTGTCTTTTTCCGCTTCCCCTATTTCCACTCCCCCACACTCTCACCCAAATGACCCAGACACATGAAGTAGAGCTGGGTAGATTAGATAAGCAAAGAGTACAAAGCACTTACAGTCGAATGAATCTCGCGACCGAAGGCTGCGCAGCGCAATGGTGTAATGAGTGGGATGGTTGATTCTGGCAAATCTGTGGGGCAAAGGGACGAAGCCTCGTAAACAATCGGGTGGTTGTATTCAACATATGCCGTCAGCACACGTCACGCAAGGTTCATTCGAGCTGGCCATTTGCACGCCTTGCCTGCCGCAGGAAAGTTATGTGCCTTGGCATGGGCACCGCTGGACAATTGCCATGCCAGCGTGTACGGTCGCCACACCTTCAATTTTTCCTAGGGGCTTTCGTAGATTCTTCCTCTGCGCAGGCAGGAGGGCCAATGATTGACGAAAATTACCCAAAAATTGATACAATGACGGGTTGGTACCGGAATACCCTTTTGCAGGACTCGGTTTTCTCTGAAACCGGGGGTCATGGGGTTGATTCTGGATTAAAAACGGGCTGTAAGCGTAGGTTTTGAGGGATTTTGGCCGACAAACGGGCCGAAAACGGGCTTTAAGGGGTGGTTTCGGTAGGAAGCCCGGATTTGACGAGTGGCTAAAAAACCAATCTGAAGCTGACTCAAGGCCGCAAGTCCCGCTGATTGCGCAGCGGGGAAGTCCCTTTCAACGGGCAAATGAGCGACAAGTCAGTTGTGCTGCAGCCATTCAATGCGTTGGATCTCACTGTTCGTGCTGCCACCGAATGATAGCCCCCTCTCCCCCCCCCTCCCGGCCCCGCCACAACCGCATGACGCAAGCACAGCCATCCATCACCCCCGGTTGCCTCCCGAAGGTTCGCTCCGTCATGCCACGCAAACAACCCAGGCCTCTGTTCCGGGCACCATTGAATTTTTTTCATTTCTTTACTAACCTTGAGTGGGGCTCATGGTCATATTGTGAGCAAATTACACAAACCAATATTTGAGCGAGTGTGAAGGTCATGTGACCACTCAGAAACGCGTAGTTGGTCAAATTCGGTCAGGCTCGCCAATTTTATCAACACTGTCATCCTGCGGTTTCCCTAGCGCCTTCCTTACAGTTTCGCACAACGATCGCCCCCTCGAACCACGTCGTTTCCCAGTCGCGTCTCCCCGCCGCTCCCCTCCCCCTTCCAACCACCCCCTACCCCAGGCATAAGTGTACCCCCAGGCCTGGGCCTCCCCCCACCATCAATCGCCGCCTCCTTGCTACTGACCTCCCCTCCACCCCCCCCGAGCCTCCAGCCCCTCCCCCTCCCCCTGCTTCAAACCGTTCCCCCAAACCAACCCCCTTCCCTCTCCCCCACCCCTCCCCGCACGCTCACCAATCTGCGCTTCTCTCCCTCACCCTCTCTTTCCCGCAATCTGTAAGGCCTTCCCCGTTCTGGTCCTCTTGCAGGTCACACAGGCTTGGACATCTGAAACTGTCATTGACTCTCGGCTGTGACTAGAGCACTTGCGCACTGATTGTTGCTCACCATGGAGGACAGATTGTTGCTGATAGCGATCTAGAGGAAGTAGAAGAAACTGGCCGAGTAGAACCTCCCAGAAGAAAAGAAACTCCAATGGCTTCCCGAGGAAGGCCCACGCCATGTGGACGATCCATGGCCGGAATTCTGGATGTTCATGTCCATTACGCGGCAGGGCTCCCCTCGATGTGTGACTATGGCGAGCAGGACGTTTATGTTCGTTTCTTATTCGGCGAGCTCGATCCCCTCTCGGGTGCCGTGTTACAGGTACATGACTCCTTTTATCGTCGACCAGTTACCTGTGATCCACGATTTTCTTCTATTTCTTCGAGCGTTACACCTGTCAAATAGTTCACCGTTCCTCCACGTGGGCCGTCACTTACTCACCATCTGCCTCGAACTTCCAAGCTCGGGTTTTCGCCCTCGTGACGCACAGGAAGCGCATCGTGACGATTCTTATGGTAACGATTCTCACTTACGTAACTTCAGCGTTTACGATCGATATCTCCCGACCCCTGCCGTGCATGAGCAGACCAGGACGGTCCGCAAGGGCGGCACGCGGCCCATATTCGACCAGTCGCTGCAAGTCGGAGTCCCGTCAGGCGAGCAGGTTCGTGCCACCCTCGTGCCACCCTTGTTGATAACACGACCGTCCCTAGCAGCTGTCATCCTCCCGTGTAGCGTCCTCGCGTTCAGTATTCGCCCAATCGCTGCAAGTCGGGTTTCAGTCAGGCGAGCAGGTTGGTGCCACCCTTGTTGATAACATGGCAGTCCCTAGCCGTCATCATCATCGCATATAGCATCCTCGCGTCCAGTATTCCACCAGTCGCTGCAAGTTCGGAGTCCTTTCAGGCGAACCGGTTCGCGTCGATTGTACCTATGTTACGTTGTTACGTTGTTACGTACCATGAGTGCTCCCCTTCCCCCCCCCTCAAACCCCCCCCTCCCGGGTGCATGTAAGAGCATGAACATCTCGCGCTGAATCAATCTCGGCGCGTCGTGCCGGCGATCTCCTCTTGATCGCGATACCTTCCCCGCGCCGTCTTCTCCTCACGCTCGTCCCGCGCGTCGCGCTCTCCCGTGTCCCTCTTTGCGCTCTCTCGTTCCGTTCTTCCGTAGCGACTTTTTAGTCGACTCAAAAGTCGTCTCACGCCCGTTCGTCCCGCTCGGCGCTCGTGTCGCTCTTTTGTAACCCCTTTCTTATCCCAGCTATGCACTTTCCCTTCCATCCCGCGTAATTCTCCCACTGGTTCCGCCTCGCGGCGCGTTGCGATTCTCTCACTTAGCCTACTACTCCTCAGTCGTCCGCGTCATTTCTCCGCTCGTTCTCGCGCAAGGCATCTCCCGCCATCGCCTCTCATTCGTCGTGCCCTGTCGCGTCAGCCCGACGCCCTGTTTTTTTTCCCTCCATCTCCCCTTCCCCCCCCCCCCCCTTTTCTCGCGCAGTAGCATCCCCCTGTCCACCCCCGCCCGCGCGCAGCATCTGCGCTGCGACGTGCTCATGCCGCGGCCTCGCGGTCGCGACTCAGGCGCTTGGTGCCCCTTTCCCTCATCTCCCCTATCTCCTCTTCTCCCCGCTCCCACTTCGCTCCGTTTCCCCCTCCACCCTTCCCCCTCCCCCCCTTCTCTACCCGCGCAGCGTCTCCGCTGCGAGGTGTTCATGTCGCAGCCGCGCGGGCGCGATCAGCTGCTGGGCGCCGCGAACGTGTCGCTGGACGAGATTATAGCGCGTACGGCGAAGCTCTCCAAGAAACCCGCCGAGTTCAAGTGAGCCCACGACCGCCAAATCAAGCAGCTTGCTTCTCGCCGCCTCCCGTTCCGCGGCCCTCCCTTTCCCCTTCCCTTCCTTCCACCCCTTCTCGCCCCCCTTTCTCCCTCCACACCCCCCCCCCACCCCCCGCGCTCCCTCCCTGCACCTTCTCTTGTCTCAGCATTTTTTTACCAGGCTGCTCCCTCTTCCCCTTCCCTTTCGCCCTCGATCTTCTTGTAGCGCGCCTTTTTCTCATCTCTTACCCTACCCTCTCTCCCCATGCGGCCACCTTCCCACCCCCCCTTTCCCCCCCCGCCCTGCCAGGCTCCTAAGCAGCAGCAGCGCGCCCGCCGGTGCGCTCGTGCTCACGCTCACCTACCACGGCCGCTCCGCCTCTTCCTCTCGCCCCGCCGCGCAATCCGCCGCGCAGCCCGCCCCCGCGCAACACTCGGCGCAGTACGCCGCGCAGACCGACGGACAAGCTGGCGCGGCGGCTGTGGCAGCAGCGGCGGCTGGCGGAGCGTTCACACGGCCTGCGTTTCCACCTTCTCCGCAAGACTCCGCCACCGCCGCCGCCGCAAACGCGCTGCTTCCCGCAAAGAGAACCCCCCCCCCGCTCCCCGCGTCGCTCGCGATGGCTGCGTCTCCGCCCCTCCCCGCGCCCCTCCCCGCATCCCTCCCCGCGTCTAGTGCCGTAGACGCGATAGCAGCGGCGCTCTTTCCGCGCGCGCACAACCAAGCGCAAACTCAGGCGCAGCCGCAGATGCTGACGTCATCCCAGCTGAGTTCGCCGATGTTTCCCCGTGCCACCTGTCCGCGTCCCGCTCCCCCGTCCCAGCCCGCCGCGACTGCCCAGGGGGCAGCCGCTTCCGCGCCGTCCCCCTCGTTTTTGCATCCTCTCCCCTCGTCACTATCACATCCTTCCCCCTCGTTACAGTCGCATCCTCCCCCTCCGTTTCAGTCGCATCCTTCCGCCTCAGTGGCGCCGTTGCTTTTCAACCGCCTGGCGGCGTCCGCCGCTGTGCCCTCGTCGCAGCAGTGGCGCGCGACAGAAGGCGCGCCGCAGCTAGAATCGAGGCGGCTAGTAACGGGGACGGAGGGCGGAAACCGAGCAGGCGGGGCCTTTATAGCCGCGGAAGGGGCGGGAGGCGCGGGGGGGGACGGTTTTCGCAGCATGACTGCCGCGGAATGTAATTCGGGGGGATTCATAGTGGGGGGAGGGGGAATGGGCGGCGCAGGGATGGGGGGAACCGGGGGAGCGGTGGGGGTAGCGGGGGCGGTAGCGGAGCTGATGGCAAAGGCGCAAAACGACAGCACGCACAGGGCGTATCTGGCCAGGCGGTTACTGGATGCCAGCGCGGCAGTGCAGGCAGGCGTTAGTTTGGGGGCGGTAGGCTTGGGGGCGGTAGATTTGAGTGCATCCAACGGTGGAGATGTAAGCATGAGAACCATGGACCTGGGGGGCGCTAGTCTGGAAGCGGGCGCTAATCTGGACGCGGTGGGCGCAGGGTCCGCGGAGCCTGCAGGGGCGGAACGAGCAGGCGGAGGCTTGGGGGGATTGGGCGGGGGCGCGGGGAACACTTCTTCCCCCCCCTGCCTTGAGCTCTCCGCGGGTCTGGGCGGAGGAGGGGGGGCGGAAAGGGGCAACGGGGGAGGAAGGGGGAGGGTGAGACGGCAGCGGGAGTGGTGGAGTGAGGGGAGGGCGGAAGAGATGGAAGTAGAGGGGGGGAGTGAGGGGTGCGGGGGGGGATCCGCCGTAGGGGGAGTAGAGCTTGGGCTGTCAACTGTAACAGCAGCAGCTGGTAACAACGCAGTAGCAGCAGAAGCGGCAGCAGGTGCCGCAGCAGAAGTAAGTAACCTTGCACATTGTCGAGACGAGCCACAGCAGCAGCAGCAGCAGCAGCAGCAGGAGAAGGAAGAGGAGCCACGGTTGATGCAGCTGCTGCCCATGCAGTGGTGCTCGGAGGACCGACCAAAGGACAGCTCGATACATCGTAGCAGTGATAGTCCAGCAAAAGAGGCACCGGCAGATTATACTGCAGCCACAGCGGCAAGCCCGGACCTATCGCTAGGCAGTGCGACCCAGCTGAGGCTAGAACCTGCCGAACCAAGTGGTTTAGGCTTGGCGTCAGCTTTGGCTCTTGGTTCGAAAGCTGAGCCTGTTCACGAGTCAGAACGAGCCTCCATGTTCGGCCGCCCTGCCCCGTTTTCCTTATCCATGGCGTCGCCTCTACAGCCTCTACAGCCTCTACAGCTGCCCATGCCCATGGCGTCCCCGTTACAAGCGTCTCCTCTACAGGCACCCGTATCCATGGCATCGCCCCTTGGCCGGGATATTTGCGCACCAGGTGGCCACCCAGACGACTTTGGGGCGCGTTTGCATGCAGCTGCTGCCTCCGCTGCTGCTGGTGCCACTGCTGCTGCTGCAGCTAGTGCTAGTGCTGCTGCTGCTGCTGCTGCTGCTGTCACAGCAGCCTCAAGTGCTGCTGGCATTTCTGCACCTGCTTTCGGAGTAACCTCTAGTGCTGCTGCTGCTGGTGCTGCTGCTGCTGCTGCTGCTGGCGGTGCTGGCGGTGCTGGCGGTGCTGGCGGTAGCACAGGGGCTCTGTTCTCTGCCTTCCCATCTACTCCGCCCCCCTCTACGTTGGCCGCCCCTCTCTCTGTCCCCAACTCCCGCCCCGCATCCTCTGCCTTCCGCCCCTATCCCGCCACCCAGCGGGGAGATTACCAGCCTGGTAAGGCAGAGCCGAGCACCGAGCCTAGCAGGCCCGGCGGAGACTCGTCTAGGCTCGGCACAGACTCGTCCAGGCTCGGCGCCGAGCCTGGCCGGCCTGCGAAGAAGCAGTGCTGTTCGCCCGTCAGCCAAGCCTGCCACTCCTCGCCCCAGAATCCAGATGCTACTCAAAAGGCTTCTCCGTTTCTCTCCTCTCTCCCCTCGTTCTCCTGTCGCGCCCGCAGCGGCACTGCCAGCTGCCCTGCTGCCGCTGCGGCCAGGTCCCTGTTTGGAGCGATCATGGGGTCCTCGGGATTTGGTGCTGCCAGTACCAGTGCCAACGGTAGTGGCAGTGGTAGTGGTGCTGCGGTTGGGTCGTCCTCAGCTGCTGCTACAACCGCCCCGGCTGCTGCTGCTGCTGCCACAGCTGCTACAGGTGCTGCTGCTGCTGCTGCTCCTGCAGGCACGTCAGCATGCCCGGGCGCGCCTGCTTGGTTGGTGGCTCTCTCCGCTTCCCTTGGTATGGGCGGAGGGAAGCAGCAGCTGACGCAGCAGCAAGCAAAGCAAGGGAAGCAGCAAGTGCAGGGGAATCAGCAACGGGCGCAGAAGCCACAGCTGCTGCAGCAGCTGCAACAGGCGCAGCAGCAGCAGCAGGCTAAGCAGGCACCTTTAGCCGTTGCTGCTGCTGCTGCTACTGCCAGTGCTGCCACCGATGCGAATGCATGCGGATCGAGAATTCTGCGCCTGGCGGAGCTGTTAAGCGAAGCAGAGAGCCAGCGCAAGGCACAAGCATCGTCATCACCATCTCCACCGCCAGCAGCACCAGCAGCACTCGCCGCTGCTACAGCCCATGGCACTGCTGCTGGTGCTGGGGCTGGTGCTCCTGCACCAGCACCGCCAGCTTCCCTTGCGGCAGGGCTAGCAGCTGCAGTGGCTGCTGCTAGTGCTGCTGCCGCTGCAGCTGCTGCCACTGGGGCAGGCGCAGGGGCACGAGGAGCAGCAACCGGAGTAGCAGGAGCGAGAGGGACGTCAAATAGTAGCAGGAGCACCATAAGGCCGAAATCTCCCACTGGGTCAACCCCCTCTCCTGCCCTGGGCCCGGGCCTGATAGGCTTGGGCCAAACCAGCAACCGAACCTCCTCCAAGGCCTCGCTGTCTGCCGTACCTGCACCGTTCCCCTCTCTTGGCGCCAGAAACTCCGCCGTTGCCACGTCTGCTGTTGCCCCTGCCATCAATGGTGTTGCTGCTACTGGGGTTGCAAGCATTGGAATTAGTGGTAGTGGCAGTGGTGGTGGTGGTGATCTAGGGACTGGTTTCAGCACAGAGCCAGGAACGAGGAAGGGGAGTTTTCTGCCCCACCTGATGCTGGCGCTGGAGAACTCAAAGAAGGCGAAGCAGAGTGCTGCGGCTGATTCAAAGCCCGGTGGTGTGATAGGTGGGATAAGCAGTACCGCCAGTGCCCCGCCCAGTGCTACAGCCGGCATTACAGGCGGTGCTACTTGCAGCGCTACAGCCGTTGGTAGTGCTTCGGGTGCTGACTGTGGTCTGAGGCAGATTGGCAGCGGTGACGCATCGGGTGTTGCGGTCCCCAATCCAGGGATAGGGGCAGCAATTGCAGCTGCAGCTGCGGCTGCTGTAGCCTCTGCTGCGGCCGGTGGTTCGTTTCCAGCAGTCGGCGCGGCGACAGGGGCGCATGGAAGGGGAAGGGAGGCCATGGCATTTTCTGGTGGGGCAGTTGCTGGTGGACTAGCTGCAGCGGGCATGGGTGCAGGAAGGGGTGGGGGAGGTGGGGTGGCAGATGGAGGGGAAGGCAGAGGAGGAGGGGGAGGAGGAGGAGGAGGGGGAGGGGCAGCTGGGAGAGGGGCGTTGAGTGGGGTGGGAGGGAAGGGTCAGGCGTCGTGGCAGAGGGACGATCAGATCACCCCCACGTCTGTCCTTGATGTCGCCATGTCCGATGCCGACAGGTGAGATGCAGTGAAATGCGGTGCTGACAGGTGCGATGCGGTGAGATGAGGTGCTGACAGCAGCCGAAGTGTCAAATGCTACCATACTGGGTTATTTGTGTGCTATTAATGATCGTCCTCCCAGAACTCTTTCTGTGCCCTTTGCCTTCGGTTTCTCCCCTTTACAGTGAGCAAGCCACAGCGGATGTGCGCATGGCTGAAGCTGCTTCCTTTTCACTACCACCCTCAACCGCAGCAGCAGCAGCAGCACCATCAACAGCAGCATGCGCGCCTGCCACTCCCCTGCCGCCCAGTCTCATAGCCCTCCTGGCATCCCATGCCGCCGGGGCTGCTGCTGGGAAGCAAGATCCAACGCAGCAGCAGCAGCAGCAGCAACAGTTTTCGCCAGAGCCACCCGCCTGGCAGCGCAGTTTTGCAGCAGCTTTTTCAGCGACCCACGTGGCCGTGGCCCCCTCACCTCATGTAAACCCCCCTGCTCCTACCACTGTCGCCTCTGGTGCCACTGTCGCTGCGCCACACCCTTTCTCCCTCACCCCTTCTCTCCCCATGGCAGCTGTCTTTCACCCTGCTTCTTCCTCTCCTTCCCCCCCTCGTCCTTTTGAGTCCACTCGCAAGCCTCCCACCACAGCTTCCCCTCACCCTGTTCTTTCCTCTCCCGCGCCCCCTCCTCCTCCCTCTTCTTCTGCTGCCACTCCTCCCACTGCCGCCAGCGCTTTTGCTGCTCTGGTGAGGGCCAGTGAGGCCGCTAACCCCTCCACGTCCTCTCACCAGCCCAACCACCCAGCACCACCTTTTTTGCCTCCTGCTGCACCTCCAGCAATCTCAGCCACTCCAGCGGCTGCAGCACCCGCTTTCGGATCGTCAATTCCAGTTGATAGCACCGATCCTTTTTTCCCTCCCACTCGTCCCTTCTCGCACTCCCCCCCCTCGCCTCCCTCCTCCTCCCCTGCTTCCTCGAACCCCTCCTCCTCCACCTGCTCCCTCACTGCTCTCCAAGCCTCCCTGCCGAGCCTCCCGCTCCCAAACCTACCGCTGCCGAGCCTGCTGTCGTGGCACCGGAAGGTGGAGGGCGAGGAGGCGGCGCTGCTGCGGGAGCATGCAGCCGCCATCTGGCAGGTGTCCAAGGCCCTTATGGGGCAGCAGCAGGGCCAGGAGCAGGGGGTATTGCCTAGGGCACTTATGGGACAGGAGCAGGTGCTTGAAGGACAGGACCAGGGGCAGGGGCAGGGGCAGGGGGAGCATGCAGCCGCCATCTGGCAGGGGTCGAAGGCCCTTATGGGGCAGCAGGTTGAACAGGGGGGTCTGTCTAAGGCGCTCATGGGGCAGCAGGAGGGGCAAGGGGCAGAATTGGGCGATGTACCGAAGCCTCTTATGGGAGCGGAGCAGGGATGTGGAGCTCCACGGGAAGTGGAAGCGGCTGGTGGTGTGGCAGCAGGCACAGCAGCAGTAGAAAGCCCTGGGCTGGCAGGCATACAGGCTTTGGCAACCCTAGCTGCTCTGCACCAGCAGCAGCAGCAGCAGCAGCAGCAGCAGCAGCAGCAGCAGCAGCAGCAGCAGCAGCAGCTTCAGCAGCGGCAGCAGCAGCAGCAGCAGCAGCAGCAGCAGCAGCAGCAGCAGCAGCAGCAGCAGCAGCAGCTTCAGCAGCGGCAGCAGCAGCAGTCAGTGTCAGGCACACCCTCAGCCTGTGAATCTCCTGTCACTGCTCCCGCTGCCGCTGCTCCTTTTTCGTTTGCAGGGCTCGCCCCTGTTAATTTGGCGGCGGGTGCTCTGGCGGGTACCAGTGGTGACGTTGCTGCTGCCGCTCCCTGCCCCTATAGCTCAGCAGATCAATCAACGGCCAAAGGCGGAGTCCCCTCCCATGGGCTCCCCTCTGAAGGGGTCCCTTCACAGTCTGGGTCTGTGCGGAGAAAGGTGTCGGGGAAGAGGAACAAGCAGCGGAGCACGCAGTCCAACACCACCACCACTGGCACCACTGGCACCACCACCACTTCTGCTAGTACCGATTATTCTTCTGCTTGCAGCCCTGCTGGTGCGATGCCAGGTGTTACGTCAGGTGCTGTGCCAGGTGCCATGCAAGGTGCCACATCAGGTGCAATGCCAGGTGCAGTCACGGGCACAGGATCAGGCATCGATGCAGCTGTGGATGCAGGCTCAAATCTGGAGGGGGGTGGAAGAGGCAGAGTAGCCCCGGATTCTTCTCCTACGTGCACGGCGCTGAGCCTAGGTGCAGGAGGCATCACCATGGCGGGTATTGGCGCAGTTGTGGCTGGCAATGCAGTGGAGTCAAGCGGTGCAGTGAGCAGCAGCAGTGCAGGGCCAGCAGCAGCAGCGGCGGCGGCACAACAGGTGGGAGTGGGCAGCAGTGTGGCTGGGGGTGCAGATGGGCAGGCAGCAGTGAGCGGCAGTGCGGTAGTGGCGGCGCACCAGGCGGCGGCGGCGCTGTGGCAGGAGAGCATGGGGAAGAGCCGCGAGGAGGCGGAGGCACTCTGTGAGGAGGCTGTGAGGGCGGGCACGCTCACCCACGACCAGGCGGCTGAGTTCTGCGGGCTGCTGTCTAAAGAGAGCTTGAGAAGCCTGCGAGAGGTGAGAGAGCATAAGATAAGCAGCATACGCAGTGTGTTTTTTGTTACGTGATATATATATATATATATATATATATATATATATATATACATACATACATACATACATATATATCCTCGGCCAACGCCTGCAGTCTTACCTATGCGAGTGTGCTAACCAGGATGTGTCTTGCATTCACAGTCTGCCCTTTCGTCCCCCTTCTCTCTTGCCTAACAGTCTCTCTTAGTGATGGAGGACAAGTTCGAGGGCTGCTCCATAGAGGACCTGGAGGAGAGTCCCTGGCAGATGTGGCGAGAGTTCTCTCTGGGATATGCTGCTTGGCGCTCAGCTTTCTTCCCTCTCTCTCTCCTCCCTTGTCCCCCCTTTCTTTCTCACCCACCAGTCACTCCTAGCCATGGAGGACAAGTTCAGGGGCTGCTCCATAGAGGACCTGGAGGAGAGCCGCCGGCAGGCGTGGCGGGAGTTCTGGGAGAAGCTGGAGGCCGGGAGGCGGCGCGGCGGGGCAGCTGTGCGCGATGCTCAGGGCGGGGCGAATGGGGTTGCAGGAACTACGGCTGGGGGCGGTGCCGCCGGCAACGGGACGTGCATATTCTATGGCTGCCGGGCGTTCTTCTGATGTAGCGGGCAAGTGGGTTTACCGACTACGGAGGCGGGCAGGCAGCGCGGCGGGGCAGCTGCGCCCGATGCACAGGGCGTGGCGAATGGGGCTGTGGGGGCTACGGCTGGAGGCGGTGCTGCTGGCTATGGGACGTTCATTTTCTATGGCTGCCGGACGTTCTTCTAAATGTGAGCTTAGCTTACCCACTTGGAGGCGTGGGGAGGCGGCGTGGAGGGGTTGCTGTGCGCGATGCACGGGGCGGGGCGAATGGAGTTGCTTGCAGGCAGGGACTACTGCTGGAAGCAGTGCCGCCGGCAATGGGTCATGCGTATTTTACGGCCGTCTGGCATTTTACCGTACGTGGTATATAAGGGTGTCAGTGTCAACTTATACATATATTGTTATGTAGAAGTTATAGGCTAGATAGGGTATGTTCCTAGTGCGTACAACCCAAATGCTATATCTCCCCTGTTCTCCCTTCTTCTAATCATTCTTTCAAGTCTTAAAGCCGCGGTACACATTCACTTCAATTTGTTTCAAGTGATAAACATTTGAAAAGGTGGTAACTGAGTGATTCCTGCTGGAGGTAGCGAGCGAGATCTCGCAACCTGCAGATAAACATTTGAAGGGGGGTTGTGGCAATTGTGTACTGATGATCCCAATCGCCACCTCTCGACTCACCCCCCTTTCCTCACGTTTTCCCAGCCTCCTTCCCCCACGATTTCGATCATCCCTTCCCCCAACGATCTCGATTCCCCCTGGCCCCGCAATCTCGAAACTCCCCCCCTGTCCCCTCAAATTCGATTCCCCTGGCCCCCCAACTTCGAAGCCCCCCCTGCCCCCCCAAAATTTGATTCGCCTTGCCACCCCTCGCTTGTCCAGCTCCCCCCGTCATTTCCGTTTCCCCCTTCCCCTCTCTACCGGTAGTCCAATTCCCCCCCAGTCAAGTTCGATCCCCCCCCCCCCCCCCCCCCTTCGCATTTCGTTCCGCTTGTCAGCTCGATTCCCCCCCCACCCACCCCTCACAATTTCCCCATCACGTTCAATTCTTCCCCCACGCAATTCCAACTTTCCCCACTCAATTTCCCCTCCCCCCACCCCACAAAATCCAATCCCCCCAACGCAATTCCATTTCCCCCAGTATCGTGTGTCCAAATTTCCCCTCGACGAAACTCAACCCAATTCGCGTCAATACTTTTATTTCGCCTCTCGCCCTCCAATCACTTTCGTCCCCCTTTCTTGACCTCCACATTTCCTTCCCGAGACGGGTTGAATGTGTACCGCGGCTTTAACATAGTATCATGAGTAGGTAGGTCCACCCACCAGCTTCCTCCCCGTGCCGCGACCTACCGGACCCTCGCGCCCCTAGCTGGCCTCGCTCGCCCCTACGGCCCCGTCGCGCCCCTAGCAGGCCTCGCCGCGCCCTTACGGCCCCGTCGAGCCCCTATGGCCCCGTCGCGCCCCTGGCAGGCCCCGTCGCGCCCCTACGGCCCCGTCGCGCCCCTACGGCCCCTCGCGCCCCTATGGCCCCGTCGCGCCCCTACGGCCCCTCGCGCCCCTAGCCGGCCCCGTCGCGCCCCTAGCTAGCCCTGTCGCGCCCCGTCGCGCCCCGTCGCGCCCCTACGGCCCTGTCGCGCCCCTATGGCCTCGTCGCGCCCCTAGCTAGCCCCGTCGCGCCCCTACCGGCCCCGTCGCGCTCCTACGGCCCTGTCGCGCCCCAAGCCGCCCCCGCACGCCACTACGGCCCCTCGCGCCCCTAGCCGGCCCCTCGCGCCCCTACAGCCCCTCGTGCTCCTACGGCACCCACCCCCCCCCCCCCCCACCCCCGCGTCCCTAGCCGGCCCCACGCGCCCTTGCCGGCCCCGCTCGCCCTAGCCGGCCCCTTGTGCCCTAGCCGGCCCCTTGCGTCATAGCCGGCCTCGTCGCCTGAGCCGCCGAGTCGCCGTGTCCCCGAGCCGCCGAGCACCCGCGACGCCGAGCCGCCGAGCTGCCAAGTCGCTGCGCCGCTGTGCCGCTGTCACATTGTGCGATGGCGTACGCCGTTCTTCGCTTGGACGCTGAGGGGCACGCGATCGACTTCGCCGCCTTGCTCGTCGACCTCCGCTGGCACCTGACAGGTCAGCGCCAGGATGGGCACTCCCTGGCTATACATGTTAATGGTTTGCTTCCTCGCCCCCCTGCGCCTGATCCCCTCCTTGCTGACCCTACCACTGCTGAGAGCGAGGCTTTTTTTGCTGTTGTGCTTGCTCGAGCTGTCTGGGATTCTCGCGACGCAGTAGCCCAGCTTGCCATTAGCCATGCCCTCCCCCTGTCTGAGCGTCCGCGCTTTACCGCTGTCGCGAACGTCAAGGACTTTCTCGCTGCAGTAGTTGAGCGTTACTCCACACCTGCTTCTGCCTCTGCTGGCCGCTTGCTCCTACCCATGCTCTTCCCTGATCTTTCTGCTTTCCCCACGGTAGCTGACCTCGCTACTCACCTCCGTGCATTAGAGACCAGCTACTGCACTGCTAGCTCTGCCGCCCAACTTACTGCCTTCCCCCCACCTTTCTGCGCTACACTGTACCTCATCGCCATGCGCCTGCCTAACCGCTTAGCCACTGCCCGCGACCACTTCCTTAGTCAGCACCGTGCCGACCTCACCCTGACCGCCTTTGTCACTACTTTGTCTGAGATAGAGACTCGCAAGCGCAATATCGCTCAGTCGAGCGGTGTTGCGGCAGTCCCTATCTTTCAGAGCTGTGCCCCCTCCCAATGCACGTACGCTGACGTCTCCGCCGCAGTTGCCATGACTGCGCCTGCACCTGAGACAACAGCTGCGGCTTACCCGCAGCAGCGCCTGCGCCGGGGCCGCCGTGGCCCCAAGGGAGGACGTGGAGGTGGTGCTAGTGGTGGTGGTGGCGGAGACAGTGGTTCTGACGAGGGGGTTGGTGCTGGTGCCCAGAAGCAGCAGCAGTCGCCGCAGTCGCAACCGCCACAGTCGTAGCCGCCGCAGCAGCAGCAGCCGTGGGCTCGTCTCCCGCCCGGGTGGCCAAGAGTCCCTGGCGGTGGTGGTCGTGGTAGTGGCCCTCGTAGCTCAGCGTCCACCGACAGCTTCAGTGCTGTGAGCTGCTAGTACCAGCTTCAGACCAGGCCCCTGCGTGGCACGGTGTGCCGCCGCTCGCACCCCACCGCCTGCTGCTTCCGCCGCCTCGACGACCTCTTCCGTCGCCGCTTTGGTCCCGCCCCGAACCTCCCTGACTGGCCCAGCCTGCTGCGCCATGGTGTACCTGCGTTTGACTTAGACATGGATCAGATTATTTCTGCCTTGCATTCTGTGTATGCTGACGCTTCGAGTGTTTTCGGATCGTATTACTCTGTGTTCTCTAGCTTAGACGTAGCACCTGTGTGTAGTCCAGACTCCCCTGCTGCGTCAGGCGTAGGATAGCTTGCTTTGTCTAGCCTAGGCTCTACCCTTGCTCCTCCGTCGTCAGCCACTACGGCATCGCTGTCCTTCACTCTAGAATCCGGTGCGTCAGCCTGTTTCTTCCGCGACCACGCCGCCCTCACGCCGCTTGCTGCGCCTGCCGATGTCGCCCTTGCGGACCCCTCCTCTGGTCCTGTAGTTGCTCGCAGCTACACTACCCTTCCCTGTCCGGCGATTCCCTCGGGTTCCCTTACAGGCCTGCACATCCCTTCGTTCTCCGGGAACTTAGTTGGTGTCGGCTGTCTTCAGGAACTCGGCGTCACAACTACGTTCCCTGGTCACGAGCGGTACGCGGTCTGTTCCGAGGCCGCCTCAGGTGCCCCCCTTGCGACGTTCCCCCAAGACCCTGTGTCTGGCCTGTTTATGCTGGGCACTGCTCCCCCCCCGGCGGGCGAGTCCTCCTTCGGTCCTACGTCCACCCAGGTAGCTGCGGCCTGCTCGTGTCAGTCGCTCACTCACCCGTCCCTGTTGTGGCACCATCGTCTAGGTCACCCCGCGCTCCCCCGCCTGCGTCACATGTCTCAACACGGTCTAGTCCTCGGCTTCCCTGCGTCGCTCCTTGCTCTCCCTCCCTCGCCTGCGCCCGCCGTGCACGCCCTGCGTCGAGGGCCGGCTGCGCCGTGCTCCTCACTCCTCCTCACTTCGCCCTGCCACTGCACCCCTTCAGACCCTGCACTTGGACGTCTGGGGCCCAACCCTTGTCCCTGGGCTGCGTCGCGAGCGCTACTTTCTTGTGCTCGTTGACGACTTCATGCGCTACACCACGGTGTTTCCCCTGGAGCGGAAGGCCGAGGTGCCTGACGTTCTTATCCCGTGGCTCGTCGTTGCGCCTCTCCACCGTAGTCTCCATGTGCTGTGTCTCCACTCCGACCGTGGCGGCGAGTTCGCCTTTGGTCGGCTAGGTCAGTTCTGTCGTGCTGAGGGTATCACCCAGACGTACACCCTACCGGACTCCCCGCAGCAGAATGGGGTCGCTGAGCGACGCATCGGTTTGGTCATGGAGGTGGCTCGTACCTCCATGATCCATGCCGGTGCACCCCATTTTCTGTGGCCGTCCGCCGTTTGCTACGCCGCTCACCAGCTTAACCTCTGGCCTCGCTCTCAGCGGCCACAGGTTTTGCTGACCCTCCTTTGGACCGGGTTCCCTGGTGACGCGTGTGCGTTCCACGTATGGGGCTGCCTTGCTCACGTTCGTGCCTCCGGCGTGGACAAGCTCACTGCCCGCACCGTCCCCTGTGTCTTCCTCGGTTTCCCCCTTGACTCGTCTGACTGGCACTTCTACCACCCGCTGTCTCACCACTTCCTTCACTCCCGTAACGTCACTTTCGACGAGTCTGTCTCCTTTTTCCACCGCTTTCCTCACCGAGGTCTCTCGGTTTCTCCCCCCTGTTTCTGGTTCCCACTTCTCCAGTCGTCCCTGCTCCCCTCCCTCCCTGTCTTGCTCCGTCTGGTGTGTCTCACGTCACTCCCCTCCCGTTGGTTGTCCTAGTCGAGGAGCCGGCTGACTACGGTGGCCCCGCGGCGAAGTCTGTGCCGCCTGTCCCTCCCCCGGTGTCTCCTCCTTCCTCGTCGCGGTCGCCGCCGCAGCCGTAGCCGTTGCCACAGCCGCAGCCGCCGCCGCAACCGCCGCCGTCATTGCCGCCACAGCCGCAGCCATCGTCGCAGCCGCAGCCGTTCGTGGACTCTGGGGGTGCTGGAGTTGGAGAGGGTGCTAGTCCTGGGGCTCCTCTCGTGGCTTGTCCCGGCAGGCTCGGGCGTGGCAGCGGTGCTGGAGACGTTTCTGGTTCTGGGGGTGCTGGCCTGGAGTGTACCGGAGGTAGCAGTGGTGCAGCTGGTGGTCCAGGTGTCGCCGTTGAGCAGCAGCAGCAGCAGTCGCCGCCAGTGTCCGCCCTTCGCCTGCTTGGCCTTCCCTCCCCTGATCGCTCGCCTGCGCCTCCCTCGCCGTCTCCCCCTCTTCCTGTTCACGGTCCTGTGTTTCCTCCGCCGGACTCGTCCCCGGCTCATTTCCCCTCTCATTCCCCTCCTGTTATTCCTCCTCTGTCTCCTGACCCGATGCCTCCGTCTCACGTCTGGTCTCGCCGTCCCTCTCGTGCTCGTCCTGTCTCTCCCGTTCAGCATTCTCACCCTATATTGCTTCGTTCCCATGCGTCTCGTCCTCCCCGTATGCCTTCGCCTCCTCCATCGTCGCTCACTGTCGCGTCTCCCCCCCTGTCGGACTACCTTTGTGCTGCTCGTCCTCTTGTTCCTCGGGTCCTTGCCTCCCTCGTTACCGACCCGTCTGTTCCTGTCTCCATTCTTGACGCTCTTGTAGCTGCTGTCACTAACTTTGCCTCTACTCGCCGCCTTGAGGGTGACCCCGACGCCTTTGACATCTTGACCTCTCGCACCTACGTTGAGGCGACCTCGGGACCCTGGGCCTCTCAGTGGATAGCTGCCATGGAGCAGGAGATGGCAACTTCGAGGGCTACTGGCACCTACGTCGACGCAGTTCCCCCACCTGGGGTGAACGTAGTCGATGGCCGGTGGCTCTTCAAGGTGAAGCGCCCTCCTGGAGAGTTGCCTGTATTCAAGGCGCGCTACATGGCTAGAGGCTTCAGTCAGCGTGAGGGGGTGGACTTCTTTCAAACCTTTGCCCCGACCCCGAAGTGACTACTCGTCGGGCGCTGCTACACGTAGTAGCACAGCGTGACTACGAGCTTCACTCCCTCGACTTCTCCACTGCTTTCCTTCCGGGAAGCCTACACGAGCAGGTCTACCTGTGCCGCCCTCAGAGCTTCACGGGTACTTTCCCTCCTGGGACCCAGTGGCTCCTCCGGCGCCCCGTCTACGGCTTGCGATAGGCGCCCCGTGAGTGGCACAACACGCTACGTGCCCCATTAGCTGACCTGCAGTTCTTTCCGTCCTCTGCTGACCCTTCGCTCTTCGTTCGTGCTAGCCAGACTCCGTTCTACATCCTTGTCTACGTAGACGACCTGGTCTTTGCTACAGCAGACATAGACGCGCAGGCCTCCGTGAAGGCTGAGCTGCTGAGGCGACACACCTGCACTAACGTAGGAGAACTGTGCCACTGCCTTGGCCTGCAGATCTCGAGGGACAGAGCAACGCGCACCATCACTCTTAGACAGTCACACTTGGAACACTAGGTCCTTCAGAGGTTTGGTCTTCAATTCTCTTCCGCACAGCCCACACCTCTGTCGGTGGACCACATGCTCTCATCTCCAGTTCTCGAGGAGTGAGCAGAGCCCAGTGGTCCTTACGCAGAGCTGGTGGGTTGCCTCATGTACCTTATGACTTGCACTCGCCCAGATCTCGCATACCCTCTGAGCATCCTGACCCGCTTTGTGGCCACAGGTAGACACCGACCACAGCATTGGTCGGCCGCTAAGAGGGTTTTGCGTTATCTTGCAAGTACATCGGGCATGGGGCTAGTGCTGGGAGGACGCAGGCTAGTGGTCCTTACTGGGCACACAGACGCTTCTTGGGGAGACGACGCTGAGACCCTCCGGTCCTCCCAGGGCTACTGCTTCAGCCTTGGTTCTTGTGCCATCTCATGGAGGTCCACTCGCTCCTGGTCTGTTGCTCAGTCTAGCTGCAAGGCTGAGATCTACGCTGGTGCCATGGCGGCACAGGAGCTCCGCTGGCTGACCTCCTTGCTTGCCGACTTAGGTGAGCGGCCTAGCTCTACTCCGGTTCTGTACGTTGACAATAGGGCCATGATCCACCTGTGTCAGGAGCCTCGACTTGAGGGCAGAGCAAAGCACATCCAGCTGCGGTACTTCCTTATGCGCGAGCTACAGCAGCGTTGCCAGGCCCACATAGTACACTTGGCCTCCGGTGCCAACACAGCTGATATCTTTACAAAGGCGCTTGCGCCTAGAGATCATCAGCGGCACTGCTTGTAGTTAGGCCTAGTCCCTGTTGACTCTCACTTGCTAGGCCCTTGATTGTGTACTCCTTTCTATTTATGCCTTCCAAACTGGCCTTGTGGCTTTTCCTCCAGTGGTTGGACTAATAGTGCCGCCCTGGTTTGCTCTGTCTTGCTTGTACTCTTGCTGACTGGACTTCGGGCCCCTGCCTCAGAGGTTGGACTAGTAGTGCCACCCTGAGCTGCGTGTTTCTTGCTCAGCACTACCCCTTATCTAGCCTAGGGGGTGTGTCAATTTATACATATATTGTTATGTAGAAGTTATAGGCTAGATAGGGTATGCTCTTAGTGGGTACAACCCAAATGCTATATCTCCCCTGTTCTCCCTTCTTCTAATCATTCTTTCAAGTCTTAACAGTCAGCAAAGGAACTGGCGGCCCGCAAGTCCTTCGGATTCCGCCGGTGGGTTGGGTTCGAAACATTTTGCTTATACTTATAACTGGTGAAGATGCCATCGAGGCAGAGGAGAAGGTATAGCATGTTAGGAGTTTCATGAGGTGAAGTTTAGAGATGATACTTATTAGGTGTAATGTATATGGTTTTTGTGCTACATTCCAGTGTATCTGATTGAACCCCTAAATTATGTTCCATAAGCGAATTCCCGTATATCATGCATTTTTGGGCCTGTTCTAACACGTGGGGAGGTGAACTTTCGGAGCTGCTAATAACGCGTCGAGCAGGCCCCCAAATTGGTTTTGGGCCTGTCTGATTCGTCAGAGTCCCCTGCCTTCCCTTGGTATGGGTGTCAGAGTCTCCTAGAAAAGGTATGAAAAATCAGAGTAGCCATGGATTTTTTGTCTGACCAATCAGAGTCACAGCCAAACTTTTGTATGAGCCTTTTCTATGGTTCTTCATTAGAGAATGCACTACATTTTACTACATGCACAAAATCAGGCAATATCCTGCATATCCTGTTGAGGCGTATTAAACTATATATTTTGTTATATAATTGGTAGGCTTGGTAGGTGTTACTAAAACCTACTGTAGAGGGTACAACCCCCCTCCTTGTATCCCTCTCTCTTCTATTCTCGACCCCCTTTTCTCTCCTCAACTTTCCTAGCCTAAAAACGTCTCGCCATTTCTATGACTTCCTACCGTTCCTTAGTTTAACAAGGCGCTGCCAGTACCGTATTCACCCGGATGTAGGCTGTATTGGAACCCAAATCAACCCAGCTATCCTTTGGTGTGTTCAAATAATTTTTCCATATAGTCCTTCGTATTAGCGCATGGGCTTATATTTTTTATTCAATTACAAGCGCATGCTGCTTTTTGAACCTAATCCCTATAAGCACATATGCGCCTATATCCAAGGGATTACGGTATATCATCATCTACTTTCTCCTTTCCCTTCCTGCTGCTACTAGCCTCGGGCTAGGCGTTGCTGAGGGGCTTCCTCTTCTTACAGTATAAGCCCGCCAGATGGAGACCACCTCTTCCCAGTCGGGGTCATACTCTAGCTGCGACATGCACATCAGATCTCCTAGCCTAGTATCCTTTAGAGCCCCCCGCAGCCAACTCTTGATAACGTTATGGCGGGAGAAAACGCGCTCGCACTCGACAGTGCTCAACGGAAGGACAGCCACCGCCACCCACAGGTTGACCAGGTTGGGGTAGCTGTCCCTCTAGTCTTACGTCTTGAGCATGGCGCTCCGCCCCGCGAGGAATGACTTGTCCTCCTTGGGAAGCGCAGTAAGGACGGGGATGAAGTTGCGGAGCTCGCTTTGGGCTTTGTGCTTGTCTATACCTGCTCAGACAAGGGCACACAAGGAGAGGGAGAAGGGTTGGGTTATCGGAAACGGTACACAGCTAGTAAAAGATAGGTGTCTTGTTGAACAGATACATTGCCGAAGGGATACTGGAAGGAATAGACAATGATTCACCTAGCAGAATCTTGTCCCTGTCTTCAGCGCGGTAGATGACCACGAGCGAGTTAAACCACTCGAGGCACTGCGTCCTCCGTGCCTATTGGTCCCAGTTGGGCGGCCATGGGTCGACGCTGAACAGGCACGCTCCTGACAGCTGCCACAGATCGCCTAGGCGCTCGTCGAGGTTGCGGACCAGGCCCTCCGCCAGAGCCATGCACACCACGACACTCCCATCGTGGTCGCTGGGCCCGGGGTAGTCCTTTTGGAGCTCTTCGTGCAGCTCGAAGGTGAACCATGAATGTCGGCCGTTGGAGTCGATCCCCTCCACTGTCACCAGCTTGGACTTGCCGGGCCCGTGCTTGGTGAGAAACCGCGTCCATCGATCGTTGGGCCCGCCGGTGAAGTCGTCTCCGCAATCCACGTAGCGGCTCTCCAGCAGTGAGGTCGTGCGGATGATCCGTGCGTGCACCGTCGTGTAGTCCAGCTGGTGGGTAGGGGGGTGAAGAGAGGTAGGGCATCACATACGGATGTGTGGTTCAGGGACGACCGACACAATCAAGCAACGACATCGACAGGCATGCAAACACAGCATTAAACAAGTTTACCTCCTGCTGCTGGAAGACCCTGTTGAGGACGTTCAGCAGCTCCAGCACGTCGGCGAGGAACATTAGGAGGAGCCAGAAGCAGTAACTGGTGACGAGCACGTACAGCTTGGCGTCGTACTCTTGCAGCATGACCACGATGGCCGGTAGGACCTCGACCAGGCGGATGACTGCATCCCCGCTCGACAGCCAGTGGATGTTGTGGATGCCCTGGAGCTTGAGGTTTGTCAACATGAACACGTAATAGAGCTCCAGGAACAATTGATGCCAAGGGTTGGAGCGACCGAGCAGCTCAGCGATCTTGCGAATGACGTTGTCCACCATGCTGAAAACAAGGATCTCCTCAGCAGCTGCCTTCGCCGCCAGCGCCTCTTTGCGTGGGATAGGGAGATGAGATGCAAGCGAGGAAGCAAATTAGGGATTGGCATTATAAACAAATCAAGAAGCAAATATACATGACATGCACACAGCAAACGGATGACGAACCGATGGGCAATGCAATGGCAAGAGACAATGTGCGGAACGCGAAGACGAAGGCGGGCCACAAGTCCTGAGTGCGATCCCATCATGACGGCAGTGCCGTCAGTGCTTATGCCAGAGATGCGGCCGAGGTCGACGCCAATCGCCTAAAGATGGGACAGCAAGAGTGCGAGAAGCAATGCCGCATCTGCCTTATCCACTGTCAGCAGAGCCAGGTACTCGGTTACAAGCCGCCCTTCCTGGATGAACGTGGCAAACACGATCATGTGCTTGCCACAGCAGCGATCGGTGCTTTCGTCGAGGCTCAGACCAATGTAGGGACTGGACAGCAGGTGTTGGAATTGAGTCGTCTGCAGCCACGTTGCTGTTGCTTTTGTCAGCTCGGCGAAGCCGTACCTGTTACACGACACGCACAAGTCAACTCATTGTAAGTTTCATACGTAAAGTCAAGACAAAGAGAAGTTCATGTCCCTGGAGTTCTCACCAGTTATAGTACGTGCCGTATGCAGACTTCGGGAAGCCTTGAAACTGCGCGATGAGAGGTAGTGCACCAAACGAATCCATGTTTACATGGGTTTGTTACACTTGGCGCAGAAGTAGAGGGAGTCGAGCAGCTCGATGACTCGCTCCTTCTCTTCGTCAGTCGTGCGGGGATGCATGTCGAGTCGCTGTTGGTTCGACGCCATTTGTAGGAGATCATCCAGCTTGGACATGGCGAGGCGATGCTTCGGAGTCCCGGCGTGCTTCTTGAATGACTGGGTCTGCACGTCGGTAGCTCCCTTGCCTGATTTGCCGATACACCCTACAGGTCCTGCATGCACTGCGCATACACTGCACTTGAAGGCCAAGAGCCCATCGTCAGTTTTCAAGAGCATGAGCCAAGGGAATCTGTGAGACCAGCGAGATTTGAAATGCTCTTGTGCCTCAGCATAGATGTCCTCGTTTGTTATGGCGTATCCGCAGGTACAGAGGGGCTCAACACAGGCTTAGGCGGATCCTGGCATGTCAACGTGGAGGCGTACGGCAGAATCACCTGCTTGTAGCGAAACCTCTTCGCCGCCGTCACCGACGATGTGGTGCCGGCGACAAGAGCTGAAGCAACAGTCAGGGGACTTGCATCCGCAGACTTCTTGCCCGGTGCGTCGGGAACATGCGCATCACCATCAGCAGGGGCAGCATCACTAGGCCTCCTCGGAGGGCTACGATCGGAGGCATCCGACTACCGCAGGAAATCTAGCGCGGCGCGACCATCGCGGAACTTCTCGGCACACCAATACTCTTCTTCTTCTTCATCATAATCTAACTCGTCTACGTCCTCATCAAGGTCGGCCTGCTCCATGACCTGCATGCGCGGTGGGAAAAAAAATGCACTGATAGAAAACCGAGGGGCAACACGAAGCTTGGGTGAAGCTTTGCTGCAGGGGGGACAAGCAGGGTCCTTTTCCCCGTTATTAATGAACTGATGGAGAAGGAGGGGGTCTGCCAACTGCAACTCCATTGCGGCCCGCGAGATGCTGTCCATGCATGAATGAACCAGGCACTCGTCGCGTCAGCATGGGTGCGATGCTTCGTCTGTTGTGCCTCGACCATCAACATGCCTCTGGATTTGCGAAAAAAAACCGTGTTTTGGTGAAGGAACAATCGGCTGCTCAGGCTATCTCTGTGCTGGCGCCATCACACAAAATTTGTCCGCCCGAAGGCTCAGACCGCGCCAGCCCAAAATGTAAATTTGGCATGATTGACGGTGACGACAGAGGTACCTGCGCAAATCTCGCACCCCCCCTCCCCTCCTCAAATGACGGTATTACAGGAATCAGAGTCCCCCCCCATACAAGGATGAAGCATCAGGGTACACTTGTAAAAGCAGTCTGAAAAATCAGCGTAGGTACATAAAACTTCTCTGAAAAATCAGAGTAACATAGAAAAAAAAACCTTCGGGATAAGAGAACACCCCAAAAAAAACTCTAAAAGAAGTCTGAATCATAGTAAAAAGTCTGCAATTTGGGGGCCTGGCATCGATTCCATTTCAAATTTGGGTTCCACTCAGGAAACGCCCTCGTCGTGAGAATCGTCGGATTTGCATGTGTGAGCTGCAACCGGAAACGCTTTCAAAAAGCCTCAAATTGTTATGGATTAATCAAAGTAATAGCAGGTAGTGTAATAAAGGAGTCGTGATTCAAGAGTGTTGATACAATGAGGGCCTAGGCATTTACAGGCACGAACAAGGCTAGCCGAGAACCATGCGAACAGGTTGGGGCGGTCCAGTAAAGCTACGGAAGCGCCACGAGTCTAGGTTCTCAGAGTAACGAATTAGACTAGGAAATGTAGTACAGGGTATTTTTGTGCTAGGTGTTGTACTTGCTATGGCATGCACGTATCTAGCCTATAACAATATACATCAATATGTTGACACACCCGCTAGACTAGACAAGGGGCAATGCCTGGCAAGAGACACGCAGCTCAGGGTGGCACTACTAGTCTAACCTCAGAGGCAAGGGTCCGAAAACCAGTAAGAAGAGTACAAACTAGACAAGAGCAAACCATGGGAGCACTACTAATCTGGCCACTGGAACCGAAGCCACAAGGTCAGCCAAGGTAATATATGATAAAATACACAATCAAGGTCCTAGCAGGTGAGAAGCTACAGGAACTAGACCAAGCTATACACAGTGCCACTGATGATCTCTAGGCGCAAGCGCCTTCGCAAATATATTAGTTGTGTTGGCACCGGAGGCCAAGTGTACGACACGTGCCTGGTGATGCTGCTGTAGCTCGCGCAGGAGGAAGTACCGCTGCT